AAACCATTTAATTATGTAGTAATTTGCCAAAATGAACTAAGCAGTACATAAAATTAAAAATAAAAATTTAACATTTGTTTTTCATAATTGTATTGTACTAGTCAAAAAAAAAAAAATACATTAACTCAAGTTTGTAGTAAAATCCATTTATATGTGCAGCCTACCATCATGCCTACATCAGGAGATACACCAGAGGAGTAGAACTAAATGACAAGACAATTTTTAAGATAGGATTTTCTCAGTTTTCATTGCCATATACTTTAGAATGATAACACGGTTAAATCTTGACATAGATGAATTAATTTCATCAGCATTATTTCTCCTAGTATCAAAATACAAATATTAATATAAACAATCTTCTTCAACCTTCCAACTATGATTACCAAAGTAGTACATAGATAGTGTGTTAATTTTCCAGTGCTTAACTTTGATAGACTTTCATATACTACAGCACAACAGAGAACGTCGATTTTTTTCACCCCGGGGGAGAGGGGGGGCAGACAGGGATGGGACAAGAGAGGTAGTAGGAAAGGAAGGAGAGAGGTAGTGGTAAAGGTGGTAGTAGTAGTAGTAGTGGAGTCAGTCAAAGACTAAGAAAGAAGAGCACTGCAAGGGAGCTAGGGGCCCACAAGGGTAGGAACAAGAACAGAGGGGAAGGGGGAAATAATGGACCAAACACCCAAGGCAAAAGAAAGAAAATCCAAAGGAGAAAGAGGAAAGGGGAAGGAAGAGAAGGGTAAAAAAGAATTAGGTTAAGTCATGGGTGTTCTGAAGTTTCGAGCATTTCACAATGTAATGGGAAAGGAAGGCATCTACAGAGAAAGGCAGGACTAAGATTTATACAAGGAAAGTTGTGTATAATGGAGGATTCAACCAGATGGCAACTGTGAAAGTTAGACAGTTTTAGCAGAAGACCAGTCAACAGGATGACTGTGATCTCTGACATGACAGAAAAGAGCATCGTTTGTGTCAGCAAGCCTAACACTACTTTTGTGCTCTCCAATTATGTCAGAAAGAGAACAGCCAGTTTCTCCAAAGTACTGAAGAGGGCAAAAGGAACAAGATATAGAGTAGACACTAGAAGCATCTATAGAGGGAGGAGAGGTATGAACTAGATTGGTGCGAAGAGTGTTAGTTTGGCGAAAAGTAAGCTTGAATTACAAAGAGTGGAAATTTCTGATTCGTAATTCATTTTCTCATCTTGACTACCCTTCCCATTTCATAGACACTGCCTTTTCAAAGGCTAAACAGGCTTTCTTCTCTCCCAAACTCTTTACCCCTGGGAACTCTCCTGTCCTCTGCCTTTCTCCATTCCTTTGTAAAGGGAAGGCGAAGTAGGGGTCAGCCTAGGAAAGGTTGGAGGGAGGGGGTAAAGGAAGTTTTGTGTGCAAGGGGCTTGGACTTCCAGCAAGCATGCGTGAGTGTGTTAGAGAGGAGTGAATGGAGACAAATGTTTTTTATGACTTGACGTGCTGTTGGAGTGTGAGTAAGGTAACATTTATGGAGGGTTTCAGGGAAACTGGCAGGCTGGGCTCGAGTACTGGAGATGGGAAGTACAGTGGACCCCCGGTTAACGATATTTTTTCACTCCAGAAGTATGTTCAGGTGCCAGTACTGACCGAATTTGTTCCCATAAGGAAAATTGTGAAGTAGATTAGTCCATTTCAGACCCCCAAACATACACGTACAAACGCACTTACATAAATACACTTACATAATTGGTCGCATTCGGAGGTGATCGTTATGCGGGGGTCCACTGTACAGTGTCTTCACTCTGAAGGAGGGGTGTTAACGTTACAGTTTTATAACTGTAGTCTAAGTGAGCCTCTGGCAAGACAGTGGATAGTGCACTGTGAACGATGAAAGTTTTCTTTTTCGGGCCACCCTGCCTTGGTGAGAGAGGGCCGGTGTCTTTATAATACGTTTTACAGTGGTCTAGAAGGCACACAGGTGTTACGAACACAAATTACATGTTTATATACCTAAATATATACGTAGCAAATAATTAACCTAGGATAACCCAATATAGTAAAAAATCGCTGGTGCATTTACACTACTGTGCCCATGGAGTTATAATTTTTTCACCAACTTCAATACACTACAAAATCTTAGTTTTTATCATATTCCATTCATTTTAGTCCTACTTCATTCATAAAAATGCATTCTTTCAATCTAAGATTTTTGTCAAAATTTTTCTACATACATAGGAATTTTAATTTCTGGGTATGACACAGTTAAGGGGTTCTAACCCCACCTGTGGTATGGTTTGTTAAACTATACCTTTAGGCATTGATGTATTTCTTTTCTTCTTTGAATTCAACCACTGGAAAAATAATTTATAAAAAATTTATAATAAATTTACCTACGAACACACTTACAATGCCTAAACTTACAAATCACAATAACTAGATATCTTCGTTGTGCATCAAATTTAGCAGCCTGAGGGGTGAGTCACTGTGCACCTTCCCGCTTCTGGCAGTGACTTCCATCATTACTACTTCCCATTCTTAGTGGTTAGTTTTCTACTAATTAAATTTTTTAACTTGCTTGCACTAGTTTGTCATACTGCTTTGAAGCTGAAATTATGTACCAGTTTACTGTCTAATTTTGTTTCTTTATGCTTCTTTTTGTATCCTTCATTACTTACTAGCCCGGGAATGTCTTAATCATGTAGAAATTTTGTGTTCTTTAAATGCTTCACCGATCTTTTCACCATTAACTCTATTACTCTGCATTGTAAACCTTTCCATTTTAACCCTTCCAGGGTCGACAGGCCCTCTCCCAGACTTGTTCTCAGGGTCGCCAAATTTAAAAAAAAAAAAAAAAAAAATCTTATGAAAAGATAGAGAATCTTTTCCCAATCGTAATGACACCAAAGTATGAAATTTGATGGAAAATTTACGGAATTATGCTCTCGCAAACTTAGCGGTCTTGATGATGTTTACGCATCGGCGATTTTGCCCACTTTGAGCCCTATTTTCGGCCAATTCCAGTGTACTAGTCGACAAAAGTCATAACTATTTCGCTAGAACTCCATTTTTTTCTATCGATTGAGTACAAGAAGCCACCCATTTACCAATTTCAACTATCCAATAAAGTGGTCAGAATTTAGCAATTTCGTCAATTTCACACAAATTTCAAAAGATGTGAATTTCCAAATAGGGTCCAGAATAAACAAGAAAGACATTCCTGGCACTAAAATAACATTTCCTCTGTCCATTAGTCACGTCTGCATGCCCCTCTTACATTCTTTTGCTTTCCACTTTGAATTTTTATTCTCACAAAAAATAGAAGATTTACTTGTTATGCAGACTACTGCATTAGTGTAGAAATGGTATAAATAATATCAGCGCACTTGTGAAAGAATATTAGACTCACCAGTTGACGTGTATTGGACGCGTAGCATGATTTGTTTACTTTTGAACTTTGGTGGCAAAAATCAAAGATTTCTGCTACTTTGAGCTCAATTTCAAGGTACTTTTCATTGTAAAACCAATCAAAATCGTCTCAATTTCTGTAATATGTCTTCCATTCTATAAAATGAGACTAGGAAAACTAGAATACCATCATAAATACCATACGAAAATACAGTGCAAAGTCGTTGTTTTAAACCAAAAACACTGTCAAAAGTTTTTTTTTCCCTCATTACGCACTGTGTGCTGCAGGATTTTTTTTTATACTGCACACACTGACCACATAGACCCATCTTTCATATGTAGGCCTACCAGCTTTCTCTCACTAGATTTGAGGGCGCCAGAATTTAGGCATACTAGTACGTCAAAAACCCTGGTGCGTAAGCCGTACTAGTACGTCGGAAACCCTGAAAGGGTTAGTAGTGATACAGACTTCACCATCTTCCAAGCTCATGACAAATCCCCCATCTTCAACAATTTGTTTTTCAAAGGTTATGGAGTGTTGCTCATGCAATTCTAGTGATCTCTTTCAGTGTTTGCAAAAATCTTTTATCAGATCCTAGTTGCTTATTTGTACTGTATATAGTTGCTACAGGAACCTATTTATTTACTTGTAATAACAATGTCTGATAGTTCCATGTGGTGTGGACTATACACACAAATATATACACATGAATGTGCATGTGTCATTAAAAAAAAAGCTGCCCAAAATACAGCATTTTTTATCAAAAGAGCAGAATTAAATATATGGTAATTTGTGTATATAAATAACCAATGGCATGTCATTATTTTAACTGAACAAAGCCCACATTATGAAATTTCTAAATCTTCCTGACACTGAATAAACAAATTTAAATAAAGGTTACAAAAATTGGCACTACTGAGAAATCATGGACAGTACACTAGATGAACCTCTAACCAAGATTATTCAAACTGATCTAATTGGTGCAACTAAAGTTAGTAGCAATACAGTATCTTCCATCAGACCATGAATGACAAGATTTTAAATTAGAGGTGATTACAAAATACAGCCTTATCATCTGAAAATTAAAAGTATAATACTGTATCCCATTTATGATATAGGTTAAACCAGTTTCCATGGTATGGTGTGATGAAAGACAACAGAAACCAAATTTACTAACAAAATACAATATATATTTTTTATGGATAACATTGAAAGCACGTTTTAAAAATTGTGGTGGCACACAAAAGCCAAAACATGTGACAACTGGGATAGGTTACAAAGTTAATACTTCAATAAAACTTATTCCCCAAGAAAGAAAAACCTACTAAAGTAGCTATGCATTCAACTATCCCATCTTCGGTATTTAGTCTCTCTACTACATATTAAGGATGGAACAACACAAGCTTAGCTGCTCATTTTAGCTACAAATAGGTAATTAGTAATTACATATCAAAATCTGAAAAAATTTTAACACATCTACAAAGAGTCAACCATGACTAAAATGCAAAACAAGGCAAATGGTGCTTAAAAGGTTTTAACTTAAAATGTTGAGAAAGAAATTATCAAAGAAATATTAATGAAGGATGAAAAATGAGTATAAAATGAAAACAAAAAAGTCTTACCACCCCTGTCATCTGAATCATCATCAGGGAACAAATCCACAACTGGGTCATCGCTCTTGTCCTTTTTCTCTTCCATAGATGATTCTGAATCCTACAAAAAAAAAAAAAAATAAATAAATAAATAATGAACTACAGGTTTCCCCTTGTTTCATGTGGTTTATCTTCAATTATTAGTAAATTAGAAAACATTTCAATCACGTAACAAGACACTAACTTGCACATCTGCGTCGTATTTCTTAATGGTAGACATAAATTCTAAGTGCTTTTTGTCTTCTTCCAGCTGTGCTACATGTTGTTCAGAGGCCTGGAGCTTCTGCTGGGTGGAGGCTAACTCGTCCCTCAGCCAAGCATTCTCCTGGCAAAGTCGTCGTACTTGAGCTCGCAACTTCTGTTTTTCTGCCTCAACAGTCTGCAAATGTGAGGCCAACGCCAGCATGATCTGTTGGGAAAAGTATAAAAAGTTAGTACTCTAAATACATAGTGTTATTGTATAATAAATTACATGCAACATTATAACATGTAAAACAATGACAAAGTAAATGCCATCTCAAGTAGGCTCTATTATCTGTTAGTTAATCTACACATCTGACACAGCTAAAAATATAAAGCAGTATCAAGAAGAATTACACGTGAGATCCCCAAAAATATTGTAGGGGTTCAAGAAACTGTACTATGGTGTGTGTGTGTGATATGTATGTATGTATGTATGTATGTATATGTATGTATGTATGTATGTATGTATGTATGTTCAGAATAATAAACTCATTGAATTTTTGTTTAGAAAAATACACCAATCTCTCAAAATTCATGAATTTTAAACATTCTATATTGAATAGCTGCATTTCACTTAATAGTTTATGAAATACAAACAGTAAACAAAATAGGACTATTGTGGAGGGCATGCTGTTGCTATGGTATATCTGAGAAACACTGCCCTCTTTGATATTCACTGGTTAGCTGAACCTTCAATGTGTAACAATACTCTTAAGTATTTTAATAAATATTGATATTACAATTTACATAGTTTTTATGATAAGTATACATACTGAGGTGAATATTTCTCATTGTGTATATTCTCAAAGTTTACTGTAATCTCTATTTTAGGAATTAAAAATCCCTCACTGATGGTATATAGGTCACAAGTAGCATTAATGACTGTTGTGTAGTTTCTGGAAACCCTATAAAAGCATCATTTGCAAATTTAGGATTGCTGTATTTTGCAGATCTGATGTTACTGCCAATCGAGTATCAACTGCTACCTTGTTGATTTGATGGTTTATGTTATACAAATCACAATGTTTCGAGCCTTACACAACTAAGTTCTAGCAAAATACAGAAGTTGATAGCATAACTTATGAATGACATTTAAGCCAAGTTGATTGGACATCTAACTTCCTTTCATTCACAGCATAAATCAGTACTCTAAACACTCGTATAACATTACACATGCTCAAACAATCTAACTGGAATTTCCTTTTCTTTTTGTTTATAACATACAGAAAATGGGGTATCCAATAGTTTACTCTATGCACGTTAGTCATCTTTTACGAGTACAGGGATAGGGCTCTTAATTCATTTTTCCCAGGAATATTAGAAAGGCTTTGATAGAGATCAACAATTTTAGCACTTATATTAACCCTTTGGGGGTTTCGGACGTACTAGTATGTCTTACGACCCAGGGTTTTTGACGTACTAGTACGCTTAAATTCTAGCGCCCTCAAATCTAGTGAGAGAAAGCTGGTAGGCCTACATGTGTAAGAATGGGTCTATGTGATCAGTGTGCACAGTATAAAAAAAAATCCTGCAGCACACAGTGCATAATGAGAAAAAAACAAACTTTGACCATGTTTTTGGATTAAAACAGCGACTTTGCACTGTATTTCTGTATGGTATTTATTGTTCTATTCTAGTTTTCTTGGTCTCATTTTATAGAATGGAAGACATATTACAGAAATTGAGATGATTTTGACTGGTTTTACAATGAAAAGTACCTTGAAATTGAGCTCAAATTAGCAGAAATGTTCGATTTTTACCAAAGTTCAAAAGTAAACAAATCATGCCAAGCGTCCAATACACATCAACTGTTGAGTCTAATATTCTTTCACAAGTGTGCTGATATTATTTATACCATTTCTACTCTAATGCAGTAGTCTGTATAACAGTAAATCTTATTTTTTTGTAAGAATAAAAATTCAAATTGGAAAGGCAAAGAAATATAAGAAGGGTCTGGGGATGTGACTAACGAACAGAGAACTTGTTATTTTAGTGCCAGGAATGTCTTTCTTGTTTATTCTGGACTCTATTCGGAAATTGGCATCTTTTGAAATTTGTGTGAAATTGGCAAAATTGCTAAATTCTGACCACTTTATTGGATAGTTGAAACCGGTAAATGGGTGGTTTCTTGTACTCATTCGATAGAAAAAATGGAGTTTTAGCGAAATAGTTACGATTTTTGTCGACTAGTACACTTGAATTGGCCGAAAATAGGGCTCAAAGTGGGCAAAATCGCCGATGCATAAACATCATCGAGACCGCTAACTTTGTGAGAGCATAATTCCGTAAGTTTTCCATCAAATTTCATACTTTTGGTGTCATTATGATCAGAAAAAGATTCTCTATCTTTTCATAAGAAAAAATATTTTTTTTTTTTTAAATTTGGCCGACCCTGAGAACAAGTCTCTGAGAGGACCTGTCGACCCCCAAAGGGTTAAGAAAGATGTAGTACAGGTAAAGACAATATATATCTTAGCTTATATACATGTTAAAGCCTAAGCTCATTATTCTTACCTGAGCCTCTGAGAGCCCCAGTTCAATCTGGTCAAGGGACTTCTGGAGAATGCCTGCTTTTTCAGAGATGACATTGGAATCTGGCGGATGATGTGAAGAGGACAGTGTAGTATTTATTCCACTGAGGATGGAATTGTGTTCATTCCTAAGCGCTTCTAGTCCCTGCACCACAGTCCGCGTGTGGGAAGCCACCTCCTCCTGGGTCAACGCTGTCATCCTCCCGATGCTCTCTATCTTCTTACTGAAACAAAATGCATTTTGCTCATTCCATGACACATCTTACATACTGTATACTATATAAACCACTTTCCAAAAAGATTAAAAATCACATTACATCAATATATCTGCAGATGATGCAAAAAATCCTATGCAAAATAAGCAATTAAAATGGCTGCCTATCTCTGCATGAAGACCTGGATAATAAGTATTGTGGTACATCAATAATGTTATTACTACAAAATGGAAACAGGCCACATAATAAAAAGCAAATCGTCAGTGACATATTAGATTCAAAACAGCACAAGATGCAGTAATACACTGACACTTGTCAAATATAAAATAATCTTTAGATGTAATTTAACCTGTGACAGAGAAATGAAAAGAAAATGCTCACACGTGTTAGACTAGAAACATTAAAATATAGAAAGTGGTTTGGTGTCCATACCTTAAACAAGTAAAGCTAGAAAGAGTCAAAAGAAACAATAAAAACTGACTCCCAGAAAATACATTACAATGGCTGAAAGCTATCAATCTTCAAAAAAAAAAAAAAAAAAAAAAAAAAAAAAAAAAAAAAAAACACTTTTTAAGGGAGTTCGGCCTATTTGGCTTATGTTTAATGCTTTCAGACTGAGGGTGACAATAACAACACACAAGCTTACAAAGAATACATAATTCATCATGGCAGGTGGAGAAAGATTTGAAATCTTAAATGTATAAACCATAAGTCACTAGCAGTACAATAAAAAAAAAAATAAGTGAACCAACATGCAGATGTTATATGTTCTGCATGATTTGGGCAGTTGCTATCAAAGACAAGCCAAAATACTGTGGGTTGAGAAAAGAAGAGCTGTGTGAAGCACTAACCTCAATCTTCAATAAGCCAAATGAAACAAAGCAGCTACCAGAGAAGTGGAAAACTTGGGAGTGATTGGAATACCTGGCTGTCATTCAGGTTTAAATACTACTGTGGTACCTGTCTGCCATTCAGGGTTTACATATTGGGATACCTAGCTGGTATTTAGGGATCACAAAATGGGATGCCTGGCTGGCATTCAGAGTTTGTATTTCTTGAAGCAAAAGGTAGATATGGCAATCTTACCACAGTTACTTGGCTGTGATGGTGTTTAAGACCCTTGACCTGGCTGAATGTTTGCATGACCTTGTTTTGACATTTGCTTGCCTTTGTCTATGTTTTTGCTTGACCTTGGTCTTGATGTTTGCTTGAACTTGGGCTGGAATGTTTGCTTACCTTGTCTGGAATGTTTGCTTGACCTTGGTCTGGATGTTTGCTTGACCTTGGTCTGGATGTTTGCTTGACCTTGGTCTGGATGCTTGCTTGACCTTGGTCTGGATGTCTGCTGGACATTGGTCTCGTCTTGGTCTGATGTTAGATTCATAATTAAAGAAGTCGGTCCCTCCTTTACCTTAATTCTGTAGTGGTCCTATTCCTATGGGGTTCCCTAACTACGGGTACAACCAGACAACGTGTGCTTGTGTCTGTGGTTATAAACAATCACAACGTTCATGATGCACTTCTGGACTCTTGTTACTGTTGAAACAAATCTGACATCGTTGATACATCGCTTTATTGTTATCTCTGGAAATGTTTGTTTGGTAAACTATGATAAATTATACAGTATTTTTGATGAGTAATTCATGACAAAAGGCTAAATGTCATTAATGTGAGACTAATTCTATGTACTTATTTGTCAAGTCAACGGTACGAATTCAGTTGGATCAGCACAGGTCTCGCCTGCAATTATCATGTATACTGAAGGTCGGGCAGTGGGAGGGGGAGGTGTGTGTGGGGGGAGGGGGGGTTGCACGTCTGCTGTTATTATTGTCTTGGTGGATCCATTATTGACCGGGGGTTGCTTCAACATTCCCTTGTCTAGTTGTACTCGCCAATTTGTGGTTAAGAGACTAGCATCTTAACTGGCCTTAACCAAATTGAGTCACAACAACTCTGGTTTCCCTTGTTACCTATTTTTAAAGCTGTGTATGGTATCTGTATGTATGTGATGGGGAAAGGGAATCAGTAGTTTGGCAGCTTTTGTACAATATCAATAAAAAGTCTTTAAACTCGAAAAAGAGAAGTTGCAAGACAAGTTTTCTTGGGACAACGTTCTGATAGAACTTTATCAAGCTTAATCTACAAGGTGAGCTTTTCAGTAGAATTAGCAGCGCACCACACGATGTCTTAATTTTTATTCGAGAATACTTTCAAAATGCTTAAGTAATATACAAATGGTTTAAACTTTCACAGTTTATAACCACTATTTGTATAATATCAGAGAGCGAGCGAGCTGGGAGGCAGGAAGACAACTGGAAATCAGGCAGGCCGGCAGGTGGAAATAAGCAAGGGAGGCCGGCAGCTGGAAATAGCGAGGGAGAACGGCAGCTGGAAGTGAAGGAGATAAAGGGGGGGAGATTGGGGGAATGGGGGGAGGCTTGAAGCTACTAGATGCTGGAAAATCCTCTTCACAGAATCCATTTCTTTTGAGAGTTAGCTGTGTGAAGCTGGTGAATATGAGGTTTAATGGGCGCCACGCCACACGGATTTAGGCTCTGGGACTCCGGCTCTTGCTTGCACATCTGGATGAATATTCAGAAGATTCATAACTGAAATATCTCATATTAATGTAATTAGGTCTGTAAAAAGAGAAGAATATTGTACTTCGTCAATTCTGCATCTCTTCAGAAGTGTTAATAAAAATTCAGTGCTAATCCTTAGAGAAAGCAGCCTTAAAGCACTTTGTTCTCTGTGGAATGGAAGAGAAAGGCCTTATAATAAATACATGGAAGGTACTCGAGGGACTGGACCTCTAACCTTTATACTGCTGTAACAACTAACAGGAGTGAAATATATGGGAGAAAGTGATGAATAAACCTAATGAAAAGCAGTGAGGAAAGAGCGCGGGTACAATTCGAAAACAGTCAACATCCTTGGCCCAAGACTGTTCACACACTACCAGCAGATATCAGATGCTGGAATGAAGATACAAGTTTTCAATAAACTGGACAGCTTCCTGTCAAAAAGTGCCTGATCAGCAGCACCTGATTTATGGGCTGCTAGCACAAACAACCTGATTGACCAGGAGGTCAACAAGGAAGGTCAGCCGAGCTGTGGTGGTAGAGGAGCTATCGAAACCGCTACAGGTGAATTTCAGGTACTCTCTAGTGAGGTACTCGGTAGAATACTGTCTTGTAGTTCGTTTTTGTTAGTCATGAAGCTCCATTTACTAAGACAATATTTTGTATCCCTAAATTGGTGCTCCAAGTTCCCCCTCCTCCCTTTAAATCCCCACGAATACTTTTGATAACCTGCATGCCCCCCCCCTCCTAAAAAAAAAACTGGCCTAGAATTCAGTACTTTCTGTCTGTTCTCTTTTTATGTAGGGACCACACTGACCTTTTTTTTTTTTTTAAATTTCAGCAGCTGGTTCATCTTAAGTATGTGCGTTTGTCTCTACACATCTACCTGTCTAGCTGCATTTTTTGACTTGCTTAGTCGTGTATGGTGTATCCCTCTTGACCTTCCATCAGTGTTGGGTGGGTGAGGGTGGCGTCGGGGTCATGTCAGTCTTGTAGTGAGGTTAAAGTTGTAGCTTCAGATCCCTGGAGCCGTCAGCTAGGCTTGTGCTTTAAGTGTAGTGTAAAGGTTTTTAATGATGGCTTAGTTGATGATTGCCCATTTTATAACCAATTTTATAACCAATATTTACTTTGAGCATAATACCTAATTAACTGTTCAGGGTTTCTGGGATCACCACCCTCGTGTTCCGGTAGTGGATCGGACCTCATTCAGACACAGTTCAAAGCAAGCACCAGGCCAAGGCTCATCAGGAACTGTACTGTATAATGTACTACAATAACGTACTGCATTGCAGTCCTCAGTTTAATTTTAAGACTACGACACATTGTAGCGATGACCTATTAAAGGCCACTCATTGTTCTCAATAACCTTTTACCTACCGAGTGAAAAAAAAAAAAGGTCAGAATGTAAGGAACGGTCTTTGACTCAACTAGCTGCTTACATTGAACTTAAAGAGTTCCAAATACCAAAACATTAATTAGGAAGTAGGTTAGTAGACAGCAACTATCCAATGAGGTCCTACAGTCTCGTCATGAGTGAAAGTGAGGCCTGTAAAGTGTTCTGTACTCCGACAGGATTACTCGTCTTCTCTTTGTCTCTTAAACATGTAAGGTTAATCTTATAAAAATAAAAATCTACTGGTATTCAGTACACTCATCACATTCCTTTGTTTTTCTCTTAATAGTTCATATTCAGGTCGAGTTTTCTTCAAAATTAATGAGGCGTGATTAGAGACTAACCACCGGGCCGTGAAACAAGAGGATCCTTGAAGCACTAAGAGATAAGTGGCCTGCAAGATATCAGGCCGCGAAGTACATGATTCTTGAGAGGTATTCCTTAGGGTAAAGTGACAGAGTGGGAGTGAGTGTTGGATGAACGTCAGTAACGGCCGAGGCAGAGACCTGGGTGCCAGACTGCTGCTTGTTCTCTCACTGCACCCTGCATAACAGTCGTATTGCTCATTGTTCCTCGACGGTGTTAGCTTAGTGCCTACATACCTCGTTATTTGGTGGGGTGGGGGTAGGTACAGTGGAGTGGTGAAGAAAGCAGATGAGGTACTTACAATTAGGCTTAATCACTCACGTTTTCCTCCTCCGTCCCATCCCACCCTCCACTCTCTTTCCCTCCCTCATGAGTCACCTGGGGGGGAGGGGAAATGTCGTGGCGCCGTCTTGTCTAGTGTCGTTAATACCAATATGTTTAACTTTGTAAGTGTCACCCTTCCTCCCTCATTCCCACCACACCATACATCCTCCCTAACCCCGGAACCTCCCCTACCTGCACCACAGATTTTGTTAGCTCAGATTTTTTTTTTAAGATGGAGAAGGGCATGTGATGCTTGTAAGCTATTTCAGCGCCCACACCCTATCACTACCTCTTATGGTGTTGAATTCTTTGGATGGAAGAAGAGATAGGCTTTGACTGTG